GGGAGGGAGGGAGGAGAAGGAGAGAGAGAGATGGAGAGAGAGAGAGAGAGAGAGAGAGAGAGAGAGAGAGAGAGAGAGAAATTGAGAGTGAGGAATTCCATTGCAGGAAGTGTCAGCTGTGGATTAGCTACATCTACGCAGCATCTATTGACTTTTTTGGTTTGAGGAGTGCCAACCCTGGTGTTTCACCTTCCTATCCTACTACAAGAGATAAACAAACACACTGAGTTACCTTGTCAGTGATCAGTTAACAGAAGAGTGTGTCGCAACTCTCACCAATGAGAAGGGAAATCTGTTAGTGAAAGGCCAAAGTGGGGACAGGAGAGTTATGTCCCCTGGAGGATGCAGGAAAGAGGTTGCTTTCTTACCTTAAACACTGCCCTATGAAAATAAGACACTTAAAGGCGGGTGAAGCAACTACCCTAAAAAAAGAGGAAAGTGTGCCAATAATCTGGGCTTAGAAGGGGTGGAAAAGTGGAAAATACCTGAGTCCTGCACTGTGGAGAAATCCTGAACAGTTGTCTCTAGATACTTTACATAATAATTTGCAATTATTTAAGCCACTTTCCCTCTATATTCTGCTATTTGCATACTAAAGTATCCTAAATGACAGAATGTTGTACAGTTTTCAAAGGTAGCAGGCAAATCAAAAAGACAGACAACAAACTATCAGTATCCACTGCTTTATAAGAACTCAGGTCTCCAGCCTCAACTAACCTTCCCCTTTTCTTCCATTTCAAAGTATATATCATCCACTTTTAGAACCACAACTCGCACCTAACTTCTGAGGAACCATCTCTAATCACTCAGAGCCTTTCATGCCCACCTCATTTGTAAATACTGCCCTCACAAAATTTATTAAACTATGTTCTGATGCACTTTTCAATTATCAATCTCCTCATACTAGAATATTAGTTTCCCCTTGGGCAGACTTGTCTTACCCATTTTATCTCCAGGTATTTTCACAGGGCCTGGAAATGGAAAGATTCTATCGTCCACATGGAAAATATGCAAAGAGAAGACAATGCATGTGATTTACCCTTGTTTTAGAGGTGGGTGCAAGAATAATGCAAGAAACCAAACATATCTGCTGAGATTTCTTGAGACCAAAGGGAAATTAAAACACAAAGGACTAAGCATTTTAGTTTGGGATTTTGGTTTTGATTATCCAAAAAAAAAAAAAAAATTCCGGAGTTGTTCTGGTCTTTTCTTTTTTGAATATCTTTTTTAACTTGTCATGGTTTTATCCCTCAAACATTTTCTTCTCATTAAACTCCATAAAAGCATCATTAGTATTTTTGTTTATTCCAAAAGTTAAAAATAAAGTGGAAAAACAGATTTGAGCATGATGTTGAAAGAGAACCACAAGAGGTCAAAAAAAGTTTATATCCCTTCTCCTTACTTCAGTATGTCTATTGATTGTATTAAAATTTGGATACACTGGGTACAAGAGAAAATAAGCCATTGCATATCATCATCAGTACCTGGAGAAACACATTGTAATTAATGAAATCTAAGCTAAGCACAAAACCTGTGACAGTTAATATTGTTGATCTGTCAACTTGTCTAGAACCACCTAGGAGACAGGCCTCTGGGAATGTCCATGATGCAGTTTCTAGATTATATTAACCAATATGGAAAGACTCACCATTACATGGGCTAGAGCAGTGGTGCTCAACCTTTCTAATGCTGTGACCCTTTAATACAATTCCTCATGTTGTAGTGAGCCCTGTCTTAGTTAGGGTTTCTAGTGGTGTGAAAAGACACCATGACCACGGCAACTCTTATAAAGGAAAAACATTTAATGGGGTGGCTTACAGTTTAGGAGGTTTAGCTCATTATCATCATGGTGGCATGAAGGCAGACATAGTGCTAGAGAAGTAGCTGGGACTACATCTTGACTTGAAGGCAACAGGAAACAGTCTGTCTCATTGGGTGTAGCTTGAGCTTAGAAGACCTCAAAGCCCACCCCCACAGAAACACACTTCCTCCAACAAAGCCACACCTACTCCAATAAGGCCATATTTCCTATTATTGCCACTCCCTTTTGTGGCCACTTTCTTTCAAAGATCCACAACCCCCAACCATGAATTTATTTTTGTTGCTACTTCATAACTCTAATTTTGCTACTGTTATGAATTACAATGTAAATATCTGTGTTTCCTGATGGTCTTAGGTGACACCCCAAAGTGGTAGTGATCCACAGGTTTAATAACACTGGGATAGAATCTAAGAACAATAAAAAGGAAGAAGCAAGCTGAACACCAGCATCTCACTGTTGGAACACAATCCATGAATGAAGCTGGGTGAGGAGATTTCTGAGACATTGTAAAAATACTCCAAGTAAACAAGAAAACCTCTTTTCCTCCATAATAATGGGTTGTTCTTGGAATGTACATTCATGCTTCTACCAGGTATAATAACAGGAGTAGATTTTATTTTAGGTTACCCCATCAACTTACCCATTATTGTTCAGAATGATGTTTCAAGCATGACTTGTCCTCTTGACTGCATACAGTCTAAGGTCATGTGACCTTTGCTCATATGACCTTGCTGATCCCTCAAGAATACACTTAGAATATAAGTTGTGTGGTGCTCTGAATAAAGCTGGCCATTGCACGAGACCTTAGTCAGTCTCATGTTTAAGCTCCACTCTCCCAGGTTCACAACACCAACTATAGTGGTTAGCATTTCATAACTGCATTTTCTGGACGTGGTGTAAGGCAACCAAGTGCCTTCTACTCTTGCCACCCTGCCTTCCCCAACATGATGGACTGTATCCCCTTGAACTGTAAACCAAAATAAACCCTTCCTCCATGAAGTTACTTCTTGATAATATCTAAGATAATACACAAATGTTTTTGTTAACACCTCATAAGAGCAAACATATTCCAATTTTTTTTTTTTTTTTTTTTGGTTTTGATTTTTCGAGACAGGGTTTCTCTGTGTAGCTTTGTAGATCAGGCTGGCCTCGAACTCACAGAAATCCACCTGCCTCTGCCTCTCAAGTTCTAGGATTAAAGGTGTGCATCATCACCAATTCTTTTTCTATCTTTACAGTACTCAATGGACCTGACTGGCTTCACCAAGACAGCCCAGACAACCAAGAGGATGCTGTGAGGAAATTCTGCCTTAGGCAAGAAGAGAAGCACTTCTTTTGAATGGGTGGGCACTTTCAAAAGAATAGGTTAAAAACAGAGCGGGGCAGCTTCAGTTGGCACCTAGCCAAAGAGCCTACTAAAGACTGTGGCTTGGAGATGTGAGGGTGATCTGATCACCAGGGTTGATTCAGCTGATCTGGCTGGCTAGGCAGGTGTTCCCTTCCTCCCTCACCACTCCATGTGCATCCCTCCCAAAGCTGCTTGCTCAGTCAAAGAGGACAAGCTTCCCTGAAGAGGAGGACCAGACTTCGGTCAAGGGTATATGAGTAGCTGGGTTCCCCTGCTAGAACCTCCAAACAAGCTCTCAAGAATGTGGCCTGGGTTAAATGCAACTAAAAAGTCTCAGATGAAGAGAATTTGTCACAAAACATCAGACAAATCAACAATAGAAATCAAACAGGAAATAAGCAAATGAAAGCAAGGACAGTCCAAATTCAAGATATAGAGACTGTCATAACTAATGCCATGACATTATCCTGCTAGAACAGATCATCATCATTAGTAACTGAAGATACAAAAGCTCAACAAAGTTTGTCAGTGGTTTCATTTTTGTCCTTTGTACAAATCTGTGTTAAAAGCAAAAAGATTCATTCTACTACTTTTTAGCTGAACATGAGGCAGTATGGGGGGGGGTCATAAACATGATGATTAAGTATTCACATCGATGGGTGACAATTACCTCCCTCAAACCTTATTAAGAAGTCAGGTACATTACCCATCTGACATGAGAAAAAGAAAAAAGAAAAAAGAAAAAAAAAAAAAAAAAGAATCCTGAGCTACACATTAAGCTAACCTGGGATACAGTAAAATCCTGCCTTTAAAAAGAATGAAAACTAGGCAGTGTGGTGTACTGTAATTCCAGCATTCAAATACATAAGTAGGAGGATCACTGCAAGTTCAAGGCCAGCCTGGTATCCACAGTGAGTCCAGGCAAACCAGAGCAATTTAAAACTCTATAAGTCCGTGGCAATGAAGACCCTGGGGGACAGATGAAAAATAATAGAGCTGTTTCTGTCCAAAAAAACTTGATAGAGAATGAAGTAGCAAAATAATTGGTGTTCCCTGTGAGCAATGCAAAGCATTAGATACACTATGAAAAATGCTTCTACTCATAATCTAATAATCTAAATTAAGGTTCTAGACCATTAGTGCATGACTTCTCAGAAAAGAAAATAAAGAACATTTGTAGTTCAGTTACTGAACTGAAAAGGAATAGAAATCAGGGTTCTATTAAACACCTATACCTTCATACTCCTGTTATATACAGGAGAGACAGCCTCCAGCTCTCAAAAAGGAGACAAATGAAGGGACCTCAAAATGAATAAAGCCAAGATATCTCAGTGAAAGGTAAAGGGAGCCTACAAAGAAACCTCCCTCTTCTGTTATTGAGTCTGGTTGGGGGGGGGGGCACCTTCTGATCATTTTAAACCGAAGAACAAGTCCATAGTCACATTACTACTATCTGTGCAGTCTGGGAAAATATCAAACTCTTTCTTTTAGGACCAGGTATGGAGATGCATTTCTTTCATCCCAGCATTAAAGAAGTCAGAAGCAGAAGGATCAATCACTTGAGCTCAAGAGGTCCAACCCAGCCAGGGAAACAGCAATATCATCTCAAGAATAGCAATTGTTATTTATTTTAGAAGCAATCTCCTTCCCAGTGTACACAGATAACTGAATGAAAATAAATCTTCTCTAGAAAAATATACCTTAACCCATATTTTTAAGACTTCTGAGAATAGTTTTTTAAAGTAGAATTTAAATATCAATAAAAGAAGAAAAGAAAAAGAAATATAAGAACATAGAAAAAGAAACACAATCTACAGATCAAGATTTTCCCAGGCTTAAACTGGTAAGTATAAATTTAAAATAAATGTGATATATGTAAAGAAATAGTAAACATTTAAACAGAAACTATAAAACAAATATTAAACATTTAATTCCAAAGCTGAGGGAATTATAAAATTATTATCAAAAGCAAATAGGCAAGGCCAACAAGATGGTTCTATAGGTAAAAAGTACTTGCTGCTTACAGTCTGAATTCCACTCCTCAGACCCATATAATACAAGGAAAGAATCGAATCTGGCAAGTCGATGTCTGACCTCCAACCTTATTATACACACATAGACATATATAAATAAATGTAATAAGAAATTTAATGTTACAAAATGCAGTAATAGTCCATTTTTGGAGGAATATACTTAAAATCTGTTGAAACACTTGGTTACCTTTCATGAAGAGTGGTATAGGGTGAGTTATTTCTTCACAGCCATGGTATCACCATTTATACTTAACCCTCACACAGATCTGAACTGACCTTGACCTTAGGAAACCATGTGTGGTTTAGAGTAAATTCCACCAAAAGTACCGAACACTCTACCCCCCTGCCATTACCCTAAAGCTCTTAAACAAACACCTCATGTTATTATCTAGTCATACTGAAAATCAGGCCTAAGAATGAATGGGCACCATTAAGGACATTCACTGGTGGAAGGTTAATATTCTTTTGCTTGAAAAATGTTTATTTGTTCCTATCTTTGAAAAGGTGCTACACTGAACACCACATCCACATGACTTATTTACATGTCTATCTCTCCCAAGGGACCCTGAGTTCCTTGAGAGTTCACACCTGGAACAATGCCTACATTCCATGGAGAAAGCATTATAAAGCAACTATGGAAGGACCCAAAGATCTTTCAGTTTTTCACAAGGACAAGCACTAGAGTTGATAACAAACACACTCACTAAAAAAATATATATTCAATTCCAATTACTGCAAATAATCTGTATTTTAGCTAAAATACTAATACAGAAAGAACCAGAGAAAAAGAAGAAAGAAGGCTCAAGGGAATTTCTTATAGAAGAGTGTCTGGGAATAATTTGTTATTTCCCAAGCTCTCCTCTAGCCCTTCTGGAAGCTAGGAGCAAGTATTTCTAGTCCTTGCTGCCAATCGTGGGGGAGGGTGACAGCAGTCCCTAAGGGCATTTAGGAAAAATTGCTTCCAGGTGGAAATTCTTTATGGTACTATACAGCCTGCAGCCTTTTTTTTTTTTTTTTAACCTTTCTTCACAACTACTGATGATTAAACCATGGACAATCAGGTTGCAACAATGGAAACAGACAGCTTCCAAACAGCATAGTTATACGCTCCAAATTACCAAGTTAATTCTCAAAGAAGAGAAAAAAAATCATTGGCAAAGTTAGTTTTGCTTTTTAAGGGGAAAGGCAGGGTAGTGTTTATTAAGGATTTGTATCTGGAAGACTGTGGAAATAGCCAAGAACTCTCTATCATAATGATAAGCATCAGTACCCAAACAGCCCCATATAAGACAAAAGGGTTAGGGATAACCCTCAATGTTCTGTCACCTACCAGTTTTTATTACTTTAGTCTGGCCTGGATTTAAGGCTTTATTAAGCCCTTCTATCATTGAAAGAGTACACAGGGAACTCTCACCTCATGTCATGAGGAAAAGCTAGATCAATTTTACACCTAAATGTGGTATTGAAAACCAGGTAGGTAGGTAGGTAGGAAGGTAGGTAGGTAGGTAGGGGTGTGTGTGTGTGTGTGTGTGTGTGTGTGCAAGATGAGTGTGTAACAGCTCAAAGAATATAAGAGAGGGAAAATTACATTGCTAGCCATGCAAAAAACACAGAAAAGCCAATCATATAACCATCCAGAAATTGAATCTAGGCAATCTTACTGTTCCCATGCCACTCAAACTGAAAAGGACACATCTAAACACATCATTTCTAAACCATAAAGAAAGGAAGTATCTTTTAAATCTGTGCTAAGATGTCAACTGAACATCTTACAGCTGTCCCTCAAGTATAACTGTGGTGGTCTGAGCAAGAATAGGTTCATATATTTTAATGCTTAGTCATTAGGGAGTAGCACTGTTTGAAAAGAATAAAGAGGCGTGACCTTGTTGAAGGAAGTGTATCACTAGGGGTAGGCTCTGAGGTTTCATAAGCCCATGACAAGCTCAGAGTCTCTTTCTTCCTCTGCCTGTGAATCTTGATGTAGAACTCTATGCTACTTCTCCAGCACCATGTTCACTGCCATGATGATAATGAACTAAACCTCAAAATGGTAAGCAAGCCCCAATTAAATGCCTTCTTTCATAAGAGTTGCTATGGTCATGGTGTCTCTTCACAGCACTAGAACACTAAGACAAAAACCCTCCTGGGGTAGTTATTATCATCACTTTGCATATGAAGCAATCAACACAGAAATAGTTTCCTTTATTACTACTATAAATGCCACAATTTTATCAAGAATAACGATGAAGAATAAAAAGTGAGGGAAAAGAAGATTATTTTAAAAGAGTATAAAAGAAAGAAGCAAGATGAAACAAGATATTTAAACCACACATTCACTCAATAGCATGGTAAATATATCCAGATATTTACATTTACATTCCTAGGGGAATAGAAAGAACAGTAAGATAAACATCAAAATAATAAACCTCTAGATTAATGTGACTCTTTTTGTTGTTTTTTGTTTTGTTTTGTTTTTAGCCCTGGCCGGCCTGGAACTCACTATATACACTAGTCTAGCCTCTGTTTCTGCCAACAGAGTACTGGGATTAAAGATGTACAGAACAATAACTGACTGTAATTTTTATTTTTTTACCTTTCTGTGTTTCTATTATTTTACTTAAATACACAAGTATTCATTTTATAACTGAACAAAGAAAATGCATTTAAAGAGTCTAGAACAGTACTAGAGTCACATTAAATGCCAATGAAGGGTTAACTAAAACAGTAAACAAGAACAAATTCTTTGGGGTTAATGTGAGGCCTAATTTTTAACAATTATCAAAACAAAATAAAAATAGAAATATGGAATGGCAGCCTGGGGAAGTGGCACATACCTGTAATCCCAGATCCCAAAAGAAAGAGGCAAGAGGATTATCACAAGTTACAGGGCTACAAAAACTGATCTCGGGGGTGGGATTTGATACAGCTCAACTGTCAAAAGTGCCTATGTATTATGCATGAAGCCTTGGGTTGCCCAGTACAGAATAAACCAGGCTAGTCACAAAGCCCCATAATCCAGTACTTGAGAGGTGGAGATATCAAGATCAGGTAAATCTTTGCTACTGACTAAGTTTAAGGCCAGCCTGGGATACATGAGACTCTGTCTTAAGAAATAAATTAATTAAGAAATGCAAAATAAAAAAATGAAGTGTCCTTTTCAGTAACTCTCCTCTTATTATTTATCATAATCTCAAAATTAATTGAATTAGTGTGATTTTATTATTCCTCAAAAGGGAAAGGGGAAAGATCAAGTGCTTGCTATGACTGAATCTCTTACGTTTCTAAGAAACCTAACTTATAAACTCTAAAAACAGGCCTTTCTTTCTCTTGCTGCCTAGTTCATTCACATTATATACAAAAACTCCCTATCAACAGCATACAACTATTTAAAAAAATTTCATGGTCTATGGTGGCCCAAGCCTATAATCCCAGAACCCAAGAGACAGAAGAAACAGGAGAATCACAAGTTCAAGGCTAGTCAGGGCTATACAGTGAGTCTGTCTCTGTCTCTGTCTCTCTCTGTCTCTGTCTCTCTGTCTGTCTGTCTGTCTCTGTGTGTCTGTCTCTGTCTCTGTCTCTGTCTCTGTCTCTCTCTCT